TTCCATCACGCTTATCCCAAGTGGGGTCACGAGGGGTGCTGGTGCCTAGAGCAGGCACAATCACAGTCAGACAAATGTAAGTCTTTTCAGAGTTTTAATTTCAGAGGAAACACAGAGTTTGGTAATCCTAGAAACGGGCGCTTCAGGAAAGGCTCTGACTGGATCGTTCTAGGGAAAGAGACTTGGTGAGTAATTTGGCTTCAGGAAGAATCTTTAGAAAGAAGAAGGTTGTTCAACTCTTACAGTTTTGTCATACGGTGATACAGTAGGTCCGAGCGAGATATACTGAGTCATTCGGGCAAAGTGGGAATCCAACCTGGAGTCATTGACTCACCTCTCTTTCTTGGGTGGGTGGACAGGAAGATGAGCTCCTTTAATGGATCCAGGAGGCAGTGAGGGAGACGGACTCGGAACCAGCGCAATTGGAAAAGAGGAAGACAAGAAAGGTAAGGAGACATCAAAGGTTTCAGGTTGAGAGGGGCTAGCGGGTAAGTTACCACGGTGTGGAACTTAACCGACTGGCGTCCGTCCCAGGAAATCTGCTCCTCTAAATACTGCCTCCTGATTGCAGCCAAGTGGAATCAGCTGGGAGCTCATCCTGCCGAACACACCATGAGAAGAAACAGTTAGAGACAAGCACCCAACACAGAGACCCAACAATCTCCAGCCGTCTATGGGCGAGAGGCGGGGTACACCCTGAACAGGTCAGCAGTCTGTCGCAGCAGATATAGACTAATATAACCTGTATAATAAACATTAAGATAAAACTGTAGGACTCACTACTATTAAATTAAGTCAAATGCACAGTCTTTTAGAATATCTTTTTTATTATTGAAGTATTTTATAATTTTTTTTTTGTGTGTTTCACACCCAGGAACAGTATTTTTTCGACCATGTTAAGGGTCATGAAAAACCAACAGAACTCTTTTTTTTTTTTAAAGATTTGGACAAGATTAGCAGTTATTTTAACTCTTTACTAAACTTAAAGTTATAACAGTTTTTAACAGTTATGTTCACCATATTGTTTTATAAAATATACAGAAAACATCCAAAACTGCCTTACAATACTATGACTGATAGGGTTCAATAATAATTACCCTGTATTGTCCTAGAAATGAGACCAACACAACACACGAGTTACTTTTCTGCAGGAAAGGAGAGAAGAGACTGATGGAGAATTCAGTGTCTGTGGTCAACTCTGCTGGGACCTTTCTGTCCCCTGCTTGTATTGTCAGACTTGAAAGGAGTAATAGGAGGGGTCAGAAGTTGTCAGGAGGTGTCAGAGGTTTATACATGATAAAGGATGACAGTTCTATGTGCAGTTTTATTGCAGGTGATGAACAGTCAGCTGCAACCACACACGGCTGGATAGAACATGGCTTTTCCTATTCTGGGAAAACCATTTGTTCTCCCCATTAGGAGTTAAAACAACAGTTAACATTCCTACCGGGCCAGATGCCTGTAACTTAAAATAAAATGATAACATATACAATTTTCTGACATTGACAAAGTAGAACATACAAAAAAATGTAATCTAAAATGAAAAGAATGTAATGTTCAATCATTATTGAATAGCCAGAAACAGGGGAAACATGAGAAAGGAAATATTCAAAGGTCTATGTGCTTTTTAAACAGGGACAAGAAAAGAAAGTGAGACAAAAGCAGATCTAAACTTGAAATTTTCCATTTATAGATTTCTCCCAAATGCCAAGTCTAAGTGTGAAAGCTGCCCGTTTTACACCTTAATTTTCTTTGCCAGATTATCAAACGCAGATCTGTGTCAAGATGTTACTTCTTGCCTGCTCTAAAGAGAAGATACAAAATTGTTTTTTATATATTTAGGACTATTGGGAAACTAAAATATTTTGTTTATTTTATATATTATATATATATTTTTTATTTTCTTTTATCTGAATACTGTGCTCAGATTTGCATAAACAAATAAGGATACTGGCTCTGACATGTTGTTCCTGTCTTTTCTGTGGTATTTACATGCAAAGGTTTGTGTTATTTGTTTATTCCGGAGACATGGCTGTTTAAACAACTTTAATGTTGTGGATCTCAATTACAGGAAATATTTGACACATCTCAATAAAATTCTATATAGTCATCTTTAAAGGATTAGATGATAGATTTCTATGATGCTCTTTAAGATTTAAAGCACCTTTGAAAAAGTACCTTTATGGAGGTGTTTAACATACTTGCATTCAAGTTCTAATTTCAGTATTAGAAATATTTTTTTGTGTTTAACCCCTTGATGCCCATTAGATGATTGGCATAATTCCTAATTTATATTTAACAGAAATAAATTATCTTAAGGTTGGTGTGTAATTAATCTGTAAGTGCTTCACTTAGGGAACTGAGTTACTAGAACAAATGCAGGTATCAATAATATTCTAATTCAGTTTGGTTTCTGTCTCCATTGGATTTAAAGGGGGTTCATTTTCTTCTTACCATATCTGTTTACAGTAAACAGGGCAAACAAATGAGTTTCCTTACATTGTGAAGTTTGTTTTTATGCAAATACATGTAAAGATTGAACATGCACGTCTAGACAAATGCAAACTTATTCTAATTGTCAATGTAGGAGAGCTGAAGGTCAACAAAGGAACTTGGAGGAATCCCCCCAAAAAATAACGTTTGATTAAAACCTATTACCTGTAGAATAAATGGTCCTCTTAACAAAAATGTTGAAAAGGTGTGGCAGTTTTGTCTTCTTGTTTTGATGCTGTATATTTAATCCAAATGAATTCCTGTTATGACTTAAGATGATATCCCGGATATCATCATGATGAGGAGGGACGCATGTGATGATCCACAGGTTCTATCTATTAGAACAACATTTTTAAAATTCATTTTCACCTGCTGCCTGAAGATTTCACCTAAATAGAAACAGTAATGTACTACCATTCAAGAAATAAAACCGCAATAGTGATAACAATACTATGGCAAGCCGGTTTGATATGTGCTAGTTTTATTGAATATGTATTCCTGATATCTGGAAAAAAAAATAAAATCTTTGTCTAAATGACAATTTTGAACAAAATGACATTCTCCACATCTAGAATAAACATTCTGGATGTCTACAAATTAATTTCAGATCTATTCTGTGCACCTAGGCAGCACTCTAATAGGTTGAGAGTCACTTACGGTATTGCAAATGTATATGTAAACAATTGGTACTGTAAATAAACAGTCATTCAAGTCACGGTAAGTAGTGCAAGATGCAGCTGACTTTATAGCTAATCAATAGAATTTTCAGGCTATTCATGGCATTCCTCTCTACAAACATAAACTCAAAAAAGTATGAAAATATTGTGCTAGTTTTAATATCAGGCCATTTTGTTTACATTGCCCAATTCAAAATTATTACATGATGACAAATTGATATGGTTTTTTTCTTATAAGAAACAAATGGAAACATACATATTTCAGAGCCATTGCTTTTCAACCTAAAATAAGTAATTATAGGAAATGAATTAGCCTGATGGCAAAAGTAAATTGAAAAAAGAAATGTCAATGAAGCTTGTCTATACCGCATTCAGATGATGGGCTTTGACAATTGAGTTTTTCTGGGTTCCTTCCAAAAAAGGGAATACAAAAAAAAAAAAAAAAGCTAGATAAGAGAAGAAAATAAATAAATAAATCACCAAACTAGAGTAGGAGTGATAAAATCACATTGTTTAAGTCAGAGGTTCAAAAAATGGCAAAAATTAGATTAAAAGAAGACAACTCTGTTGAATACAACGAAAGGCTGGAGAAATAAAAAAAAAAAATGATAAAAGATTCAAAATATAATGAGAAACATGAATTTGGAAGAAGTGAACTCTGGGAAGGAAAGTGAAAAAACATTAAATGCTGCTTTAACTGTAGAAAATGCCAGAGGGAAGACTATAATAAAGGAATTTTGAACAGGAAACGAAACAGGAGAGTATTTCACATATTTTACGAAAGGGTACTCAAAAAAGTTATTTCATTACTTGCTGGTTACTGGAGTAGGTAAACATTTTTTTTTTTTTTTTTTTAAGTGCGCTTGTCCTTATCAACGCCCTTACCGCTTGGTGGCGGTAATTCAGCAAATTGTTCTTTGTCAGCCGCCATTAAAGTCACGAAGAAGAGGAGCAGGTTACACCAGGAAGATCAGGGTCTGTCCTTTATTTGATAAACCGAATTAACTTTATCTCATGTGTTTATTTTATTAATGTTTGCATGTTTATTTATTTTTTGTTTTACGCTGCTCAGTTGAAAACGTTTAATTTTATCACAGTAAATGTCACCTCCGGTAAATGTTTAAGTTGTGATTTGTGCAAGTCACAAAACGTTAGGGGTCGGCTTTTCAGTAAAATACAGAATATTTTCAACACCTTCAAAGTGAATCTAAAGTGCAGCGGTGGAGTTAATTTAAGGTTGGATCTTAAGACTTGCGGCGACATCATCTCCTTTGATCAGATGCAGGCTGATTTCGACAGTTGCCTTCTTCTTTCTCCCTCACCTGAAAAGCTGCGGTTCTTCTTCTTCTTGTGAGGTTTTATGGCGGTTAGCAAACTAGTTAAAAGTGTATTATCGCCACCTCCTGATAAGGAGTTAAACAAGGAATCAGGAAACAAGACTTACCCCCAGAAAATGGTATTATAATAAAAATAGAATTGAGTAAGTTGAATAAAAAATAATATTTTTCTGAACTGTTTAACTGAACCCAACATAATAAATACTTAATCACATTCACACTCATAAATTTTTCTTTATCTTTAAGTTATCATCACTCTGCCAGTTTCTGATGGTCCTACTCTGATGGTTCCAGTTTAAATCTCTAACTTCAACATACTTTTCTGCAGCTCTCACTATTATTTAGATTTATTTCAGTTTTCCTTGTCGTCTGAGCACTACAATTGATCACTTTTACAATGAAAAGAACAAAATCTTTTTACAATTACTGAATCTTCTTCAATTTTGGGACGCTGCTCCAGAGGTTTTGAACATTTGCTGAACTGCTGGTTTGAATCATTCTGACTGTGATAGGATCCTTTTTACAGTGTCAGCATAAATTATTCAGAGCTCAAATTTCACTTTTCTTATTTATTCAGATTTTACTTCACACCCGTGACAGAATTTGATTTTAATATTGCAGCATGTTTTTCAATAGCTTTCCTCTTATATATCCCCTTATCGCCATCATATGGTAGAATAAATAAAAATGTAATATTATTGAACAGTTGCAATACTAAAATATCAAAACTATATTGATACTCAAGAAAATATTTGATACGATCTTGAAATATGAAATTAAAATGGCTAAAAACACTTTAGCATGAGTATCAATACCATGCCAAATTAGTATAGTATCTGAAAATGGCATCAAACTCTGTGTGTATGCGTTTATGTCTGCCTCATGTTTTGTCAAAACTTTTGTTCTTCATTTAGTTAAGACCCTGGCATTGGGAAGAGTAGTATTAAAATTAATACTCAAGTTGAAGTCTCTTAAAAATATTTTTTTCTTCAGCAGATATAATTGGGTAAATGTAACTAGTCTCTGTCAATCCACTACAAAAATGCCTTTCTTTGTATTTAATTTAATTATAGAAAACTTTCTTTTGTGTTTAATGAATTGTTGGAGATGAGGAAATAACTGCTGCATGCTTCCAAATAAATGTCCTGCTTACACGGTATATCGCTGTCATAAACTTTATTCCTAACCTTTTCTGAATTATATGTATAAACACTGTCCTCTGTCACCCTTTTTTTGTCTAGATCGGTCTGTGGAAATGAAGCAGGAGTACCAAGACCTCATCCTACAGACATGCGGTGCTTCTTCTCTGCGTGTTGGTGCTAAGATCCAGACCCTGTGGAGCGGCTACGGAGAGATAGTGCGGCTACACCTTGAGGGATGTGGGCGACCCTCTGTGGTGGTCAAACATGTCAAGTTTCCGGAAGAGGCAGAGCACCCTGGCGGCTGGAACACAGACCGCTCCCATGCCCGTAAGGTGAGATCCTACCAGGTGGAGACCCACTGGTACCAGAACTATTCAACCAATGAGAGTTGTCGCATTCCCTCCTGCCTTGCCGCCCGTTCCTATGGTGACGAGATGCTGATAGTTTTGGAGGATCTGGATGTGGCGGGCTATGACCAAAGAAGGTATGACCACAGGCAAGCTTACATGAAAAGTAATGCCACAAATTTAGGCAGTTCGTAAATGTAAATATCTGTTAAATGACTTTAACTGATAAAAAGTTAAAAAAAATAATACTTTTGTCTGATAGACCCCTGCATTTGTTAATTTATAATAAATTTAGATATGATTTCATTACAGAACTACCTTTTAATTCAGATTAGTTTCAAATTGAAAGATTTAATAAAAAAAAAAAAGATATAATGTATTTTACTTTTTTTCCACTGTTACTTATGGGTAATCATTGTAGAATCATTTCAGTTGTTAATGGGTGCAGGGGTTGAGCCATGTTTGGAGTCCTCAGTTCCTTCTCTGCCTCTTTACACAGTGTTATAAGGTCAAATTTGTCCAATGTTATAACCCCAGTACCTTAACAGTGCACCCTACTAACTGTAAATTAAAAAAAACTGAAATTCTTCTAGTAATATTTACAATGGCTCTAACAGTGTTGCACACATCTTCCAAGTTACATCAGACTTACTTAGACAAACTTTATTGTCATTTTGTACACACAGAGTGTGTACAAAATGAAATTTTGTTTTGTTCAGCTTTCATGACATATTTCCATTTCTTAAAGTTCTGCAGTAATCAAATGTAAACTTTGTAGGAGAAAAAATCATGGTGCAAAAACTGCATTGGTATTGTCAGTTTGATGCAGGGTCTGTGACATTTTTTGGTTTTTCCAACATTCAGCTCAGAGGCATGTTTGCAAAATTGGATCACATTCCTAAAAGGAGCAAAGTTGGTTGCTTTTTATTATCTGCAAAGCTGTTGTTAAACTGCTTCCATCAGGTTCTAGAGTACCAGTATAGCAGTGGTGGGCTGTGAGGGCCTTCAAAGCCTTCTCTGCTGGCCTAAAATCAATCAGAAACACTAACATACATTCTCAACCTACACTTTAATTTTCTTCTTTCCAGCTCTATTAATTTGTAAAATTCAGCTAGATTAAAAGCGGAACTCACAAATACTCAAGGGTTTTTTTTAACAGGAAATCAGGCAAAGTATTACAATTGTTAGAAAACAAAGATTTATTTAAAAAAAATAAATAAATAAAAGAATCGCACAACTATTACCAAGAATCCAAAGTTTCATTCAATAATATTTCAGTATATATGATAAATAACCCAAAAACCTTTACAACCAATTTATAAGTAAACTCAAAGTCTCAATTTATATCCGCAAAGAAAACAAACAATAACATCCCTAAAAACTGAAAGACCAAAACTGTCCGTCTCTTTTTATTGTTAATAATAATGTCTAATTGGTCCAATATATATGTATATATATGTATATATATGTATGTATATGTATATATGTATGTGTGTGTATATATATATATATATATAATGTATATGCATATATAAAAATTGTTTTTTTGTACATTTAGTATAAAACTGCTTTATAAGAAAATATTTTATTTCCCAAATGTGATGGTTGATTAAACTATAATTATTTATTGATGTATAAATATGTATATCTGTATGTATATGTATATATATATGTATATGTATGTATGTGTATATATGTATATATATATATATATATATATATATATATATACATAT